TTTATAACCTTGGATTTGTGACTGTAAATATTAGGATAAATGAACATTGGGATAAGGGGATATGGGAAACTACTAGTCTGTTCATATGGTACATCACCACTCCCATTTCATAATACCCTGGAATTTCAATATATAATATTGGGAAAGGGTCTCACACACTTCTACAACTCTGATTTTTTTTCTCAAATACTCCTAAAATTTCACCCTGCGCCTTAAAATTTTCATTTGAGCTTGTCATAAATGGAAAAATGTGCCTTTGGGATGTTATCCAGGACCTCCTCCACAGGCAGGGATCTGGAGCTGGCTCTGACCTCCCCTCCCTTGTCTCATAGGTGGGGGTCTTCTCCCCCTCCCACCGCAACCACTACCTCAATGTCACCCCCAACAACCTGCTCAGGATCTTCCCACCGGAGCCCGAGGGCGGCTGCTCCCAGCGCCAGGTGAGGAGGGGACAGTGCTGGTGGCTCTGGGGACATGTGGGGACCCTCGGGAGGAAGGATGGATAAATCCCCCCCCTGGGCTCCTGGGTAATTCATCCCCGCTGGGTTTTGCAGGTCCCTACCCAGGCTGGGCTGATCTCAGACCCTCCTGCACAGCCCCCCCAGGGTGTCCCTGTCCCTGGGGATTGGGGACACTCGAGGACAAGTGGCCACAGCACAGAGGAGCATCCAGGGGGCTTTTCCCTGCACCCACCAAGCCCCGGGCCCAGGCAGGAAGAGCCAGTGGGAGCTGATGGATGTGACATGGGTGAGTCAGACCCGCTCTGGGAGGGGAAGAAATGCTCCATGTCCTGTGGAAAACTGGGGTGGGGTGGTGACTGCCCTCATCTGCAGTGGCAGAGGGAGGGTCTCAGAGAAGGGGTTGCCTGGAGAAGCTGTGGCTGCCCCTGGATCCCTGGAAGTGTCCAAGGCCAGGTTGGACGGGGCTTGGAGCAACCTGGGCTGGTGGAAGGTGTCCCTGCCCATGGCAGGAGGTGGGACTGGATGAGCTTCAAGGTCCCTTCCAGCCTAAACTTTTCCAAGATCCTGTGGCTCTATGATATGTCCAGCCTGGAGCAAAGGAAGGTCAGAGGGCACCTTCTCCTTCTCCACAACTCCCTGACAGGAGGGATGTTCAGGCTGGATATTGGGAAAATCCCTTCATGGAAAGGGCTGTCCAGCCCTGGCACAGCTGCCCAGGGCAGGGGTGGAGTCCCCAGCCCTGGAGAGATTTAAAAGCCCCGTGGATGTGGCACTTGGGGACACGGGTTAGTGGTGGCCTTGAGGGAATGGTTGGACTCAGTGACCCTGGAGGGCTTTTCCAACCTGAACAATTCTGTGGTTCTGTATAAAACTCATGGATTTCCCCCTCTGTGCCGTGCAGATGACCTGGATGGGCTCCTGGGAGAGCTGCCTGAGGATTTCTTCTCAGCCCCAGCCCAGGCTGACTGTGGCTGACCCCAGGAGCTGCTGGCACAGGCTGGGCCGTGCCATGGCCTGGTGAGGATGATGATGATGCCAAGGAGCAGGTGGCACACCTGCCACCTCTGCATGCTCCTGTCTCTGTGTGTCCTCTGTGTTTGTTGTGGAGCCAAGAGCTGGGGGGGCTCCAGGGGGGCCCTGGGGGGACACAGCCTGAGTGCTGTCCCCACTCCTCCAGGCACAACTTCCCCTCACTCCCAAACCTGCATTAAAGGGCTGTTCTGTCCCTGCTTCACCTGTGTCCTTGTGTGTCACCATCCTTCTGGACCCCAAACCCATCCCCTGGGGGGTCCCCACTCTCCCTCCCCTCCCTGGGCAGAAGGGGCCGTTCCCCTCGGGGTCCCACAGCCCCTCAGGGTTGGGGAGCCCCAAATCCCACCCCCATGGGACGTCCCCACCTCGCACCCACCAACAGGTTAAACTCCCGGCACCCCGTGACTCTGTTTACCACCCAGGAGTTATTTATAGGGCTCCTGGCTCCGGGATTCGATTCCACACCCGTGTGTGGGGCACAGCCCTATTTATAACCCCCCCGAGGCGCAGGGGGCCGGTCGCCGCCCCCCAACTGCCCCCCCAGCCCTCCGGGGGTGCCCATGGCCCACGAAACCTTCGCCTTCAGCTCC